AATAACAGCTTTTTACTATATGAATATGAATGTATATACGGTACTTATGACAAAAACACAATTTTTGAAATTTTCGTCTGTCTCTCTGTCGGTCTATCTGTCTGTCTGTTTGTTCCGGCTGATCTCCGAAACGGCTGGACCGATTATACCGGGATAGCTGATGTTCTAAGGAGTAACTTAGGCTACTTATATTTGAGAAAAAGAATTAGGGTTCTGAGCAATATAATTGAAACCCTAAATTACACGCGGGATAAGTCGCGGGGACCAGCTAGTAATAAATATATGAAACTGACACCTAACTCGATGTCACATATTATAAAAAGTATAGATAAGCAAAAGTCGATGATTGATGGAATCTTGATGTCGCATAAAACTACTACTACGTCGAATAGGAAGGGATGCAACGCTAGATAATGTCAGTACTTACTAGACTGGTTCGCCTACAGAATTACCGTGATACCCTATTGGGTATGGTAGGACCGTTATCTACTGCTGCGGTCATTTACGACCAAGAAAGCGTCGTCTCTTGCACAATATTTTGTTGAAATTCCTCTATAACATCCCGCTGAGATGTTAAGATTAAATTTAAGTTTTTATTGTTGATACTTGACAAATCACGCTTATACTTAAAAAGGTTTTTAGTCGACTGGAAATACTTTTATAATTATTTGGCTTACCTAATCTACTCGTATAATGAGCGTAATGGTAGAAATAAGTGCAGTTAATTATATCACCTTCATAATCATGGCGGGGCTGAATATAGGCCTTACCCAGTGAAATAAAACCGTAAATAAGCCGCTAACATCGACTCCCTGCATTTTCTTTTTATTATCTGATCCCCACTCTATGTACAAGATTATTTTAAGGTTTTCCGGAATACGGTAACGGTATGTTTAGATTTGTCGCGATTTTCCATATGCGTCCAAGTCGAGTTGGACTCATCGAGTGACTTACCCATTTGAACAATTTGTCCCGAAAACACATATTCGTCTATAACTTAAAACGTTTTGTTCCCAAAACTAGTGGTATTAGGTGGAATGTTAGATATCGACCGATCTTTCCTTTCTGTCGTATGCGTCGAAATATTTAGAAACGACAGTGTTCTAGCTATTCTACCATAATGACTATATCAAGTAGCATGGCTCCATAAAATATTGTGTCAGATATTAAATGTATGAAAGTTATTATGTAGTAACAATTAGGAATATAGTTAATGAGTCAAAACTGTTATAAACATTGATTTATCTAGGTAATGTTGGTACTTACTAAAATTTCTGTAACACAAAGAAACCTTATAATCTAAAAGTTAGTAAGTACTAACATATAAATTCACACTAGTAAAACACAAATGTTCATAACTAAACTAAACCTCAAACGTCAAGCGCCTTGAAAGTCAACAAAATATAAATAGTTCTCATTACTGTATTTTCTATAGTATTTTCATTTTAATGAAAAAAGATGAAATTCTTTATACGCATATTTAAATAAGATAACGAAATTGTTTGAAAATAATAAAGCGTGTAATTATTAACCATAAAAAAAATTACGTGCATGCAATCCTTTATGTTCCCGGCTAGAGAAATATTAATTGTGGGAAATTCATTGCAGTTATTGAAGCGTTTCATGTAAAAAATGGAAATAACTTCACGATACGCGAGCAACAAACTAAAAAAAAGAAGCAATTATATAATATAATATGATAAATAAATATCATTGTTGATAATATTCATGTGTACAGATGCACGTAAAAACTAGAATGAGTAAGATAGCACAAGATGTTGTAGTTAAAAACATAAATGTTACGGGGAAATTCTTCTATTTAAAACTCTATCTCGACTTGATTTTTTCGACGGAATTTTTCCATAATTATGGGGCCGTTTTACAAATATAAATTGCACATGAACACACATTCAGAACTGAAAAAACTAGGCTGGTTTTTGTTCCGTGTGCGAATCCAGACGGCCCCGTAGACCAAAGACTAGACAGTGAAGTATATACTAAAAAGAAAAGTTGCAGCTATAAAATTTCTTGTGTAGAAAGTGATGATTGTTGCTTTTCGATTATCTGGTGATAGAATAAGCTCTTTTGCCAGAGTCACACGCATAATAAGTATTTTACACTAACTCAGTCCGAAATAGAATTCGAGTTTTGTAGATGTCTTGTATTAACGACTAAATTAAAATCTCAGATCCTCAATCGATGGTAAAATACCATATTATATTCATAATGATTTAAATCCAACAGATAACGCAAAGTACGAAACTTCTTTTACATATTACTACAATATGAATCATTGTACTTTTCAAACGTCAATTGTCTTTTTATAACTTTGTAGAAACCCAAAAAATATTTCTTAACTTGTTTAAAATACATATTATTTAATATGGAACTATATTTAATTATTTTAGGATCACTTTCTACATCAGCAATACTAAATGAGTACATACGAGTATTATAACTATTAAAGACGAGCTTAAATTATTTTTTACTTTTATTAACAAATTAAATACACACTATTTAGGTATGTGTTGATCAAAGTTAGAGGATTTTTTGTATTTTTTGGCATATTTGTACCCGTGGGTGAGTCAAACCTTCGTCCAATGATTCGGTCAATAACCTAAATTGCTATTTAGCGTCACCTCGCTATGGCCGGGCCAAGGTGGCGAATATATCGAGGCTTCGGCACAATCCTATCGAATCAATTTGGAACGGTTCGATTCAGGTTCGGTAACCGATTTCATTTACTGACACCCTCAATCTATTCTCGATATAATATTTTTGTCGATATAAACATATAGAATACGATACCATTAAAAACACTAATTAGGTACTTATAGTGTTTGTTGATTGTTTCGTATCTGATCAGACAATGCAAATATCATATTGTGATCAATAAAAAGAAACTTTATCATGGTTCACATGAACTGTGAACTGTGATAAGAATACTTAATTCTTATACTTAGTACGAATAGGTACTACACATTGGATAACAAGTTAAAATTTACACTTTAAAAAGACATCGAAAGATAGTTTTTATTAATTTTAACTTATTTCTAAATCCTATCCTATTATAATGGCTGCTGCTTAAAGTACTTGAAACGGTAGGGAAATAAAAATAATTAAATTTTAAAAGGGATATATAACCAGAAATAGTTGGGTTTGTGATACTCCGTTTTAGTAATTGTCATGTCATTGAACTAAAATTCGAGTTTAGTTTTTTCATGTGACATATTGTTAAAACAAATAATATATAAATAAATAAAAACACAACCACATGGAAGCCCTCGGTAGGGGAGACCAAACAACTGAGGGTAAATGGGAAAATTATTTAAAAAAAATATCATTACTATAATTATTAATGTTATAGTATCAAACTATGTATGTATGTAAGTAAATTCTTTAACTACGAGTACAAGTCGTCTTGAAAATAATCGCTTTCAAAAAGATAATATCTGTTACTGTAGTATGAGTTTTGTACTATAAATTGTTTAATTTGTATTGATTAACAATTAGTATAAGGATTGATTAATTGTGCTCCATCTATAGTAATCAATTAGTGGGAAAACGATGCTTTATTGTACGCTCTTCTTCTTGTCTGAGTGACATCAAAAATGTAATGCTTGTGAACCGCCGTGGGAGGCATCTCCTAATGTCTTTATCTAAGGCAAGAATTTCTTCAAGTACCTTAATTGACATGACAGTACAGTAAATCACCACATAATATGTTAACTTTGAAGCGTCACGATGTTTCAACACCGCGCACATTCGTTCTGGATATTAGCAGACGAATCTCAACATCGTCTAGTGCTTTTGAATTGCGTGTGAAAATCTAGAAATGCCCGAAGCGGCGAGCTTTGCTTCGCATGTAATTGCGGTGATGGGCTCCACTTTGAAACACCTCTGGTCTGCCGCAACATCGCCACAATCTTGTATCGACTTTAATAGTACGTGTTGCGTTTTTTTACTCTATCCAACAAAAAAGATTACGTGCTGAATTTATTGATTTATTTAACATTGATTGTGATACAGTTGCTTTTTAAAGGCTAAAAATATTTTTTTTAAAGATTACCTATATTTTTTTATTATAAATTAAAATGGGTGGTAATGAACTAAAGCTGAGAATGGTAGGCCTTGTATCATTATATTCACAATACACTTTTCTGCTTACATACGAGGAATAATTTAATTTTGTACGTGGTAGAGCCATGTTGCAGCTATATTAGTAGTATAGTTGTAGCACGAATGGGTCGGCTCGACCCGGGGAAGGACCACGCTCTCACAGAATACCAGCGTAAAATAGCAGCTCAACACTGCTGTGTTTCGTATGGTGAGTGTATAGAACCGGAGACCCTTTTTACTGGAAAAGAGGCATTCCATCTTAGTCCTCACGGGTGACAACGCATCTGCATTTTGATTCGCAAACGAGGATATATGTAGATGTCTATGGGCCACAGCAACCACTTACCATCAGGTGGACTGTGTGCTCGTTTATCACCCTATCCTATAAAAAAATACTAATAATTTAGGTATGTACTTGTAAGTACAAAATGACAAGGGTTTGCTATTTTAACAAACACATTACTAGGTAATCCATTTGTACAGTAGAACACATTACAGAACCATATCCATTCAGCTGCTTCTTTTTCTTTTACTTTAATGAATCACCTTAAACGATTAGACACTATTTTGAATAGTATTATTAATATGCACTAACTATATAAATACATCTCAGTATTTTAAAATGTTTTTGGATTGTAATTAATTGGTAAATGCTAACTTTCTATATTGGAAAAATCATTTACACAAAAAAACTATGGTTTTGCTTAATTTCTTTTATTTGAAAGCTGGTGCTTCACATGTGGTACCATATAAATTTGATCAAGGTCTGACCAATAGTTTTTGAGTTATTCTTAATAATTTATATTGAAGTCGGTTGTACAAAATTTTTATTTTAAATTATTAATTATATGTAGTGACTAAATTCTATATTTTAATTTCAGAGCCACCTGCGAATCCATCGGGTGAATTGCCAGTTTCTATTGACCATCAACACGATGAATCCAATGCTCCAAGTAACCTCACAAGGAACGACGCTAATTGCGATAAGACAGGCACATGCTATGATGGTAAAATAAAAAATAAATTAAGCAATTTAAACTAAATACATTTGTTCATCTCGTGTCACGTTTTAATTCATAATCAAATTTCAGTTTCCGTTCACTGTAAGGACACTAGAATTGCTGTACAAGTCCGAACGAACAAGCCTTTTAACGGTCGTATCTACGCATTGGGTCGCTCGGAAACTTGCAACATTGACGTTGTGAACAGCGATCTTTTCCGTCTCGATCTTACTATGGCCGGTCAAGATTGTAACACTCAGAGTGTGGTGAGTATACATTTTTGATTCTCAGGTTTTTATGTGTTTTTTAGTTCTTTTTACAATTTCAATTCATTTTCAGACTGGTGTCTATTCGAACACTGTCGTTCTTCAACACCACAGCGTCGTGATGACTAAAGCTGACAAGATCTACAAAGTGAAATGTACCTACGACATGAGCTCTAAGAACATAACGTTCGGAATGGTGCCAATCAGGTTAGTATGTCTGTTAATACTTTGCAGTAACGGCACAGTTCACACCTATTAGCATCTCGACTTGAATTTAAAAGACAATAATGGATGTCTATACGTGATGTGGAAATAGAAAAGGAAAATTAAGTGCATCTCTGTACGTTTCGCTATGAATAGATACTATCGACTCTTAGTTTATAAATATTTAGACTATGTTCTGCTTTGTAGGTTATCTATAAATATCTAAGAAATTGTTTTTATATGGGGGCTGCCGCTCGGGGCCGATTAAAAAAACAACGATGAAGGGCCAGTATAGTTATTACATTATATAATTTACAGAGACCCCGAGATGATATCGATTACTGCCGCACCCGAAGCTCCGCCACCACGCATCCGCATCTTGGACAGCCGCCAGCGCGAGGTCGAAACTGTGCGCATCGGAGACCGTCTTACCTTCCGCATCGAAATTCCAGATGACAGTAAGAATTTTTCAAAATTTTTTGGTTATTAAATAATTTTGATGAGGATAAGTTAATTTGAAATTGAAGAAATGCAATTTAATTTTTTTGTGTTTTATCGTTATATCATCATCAAATTACATACGAACTCTTCGTGTTTAAAAATCGCTTTATATTTTATTTATATTATTTTATTGATATTTAGATTACAATATAGATGAAATTTTGAAATGTTATTTGACGCAGTGCAACCGACCGAACGGCTGTTATTTTAAATCTGAAAAATATTTGTTCTTATTTTATAACTAAAAAATATTTTTTCAGAGTTTATTCTTAAATTTTTGAATACAACAATTTAAAATCTAATTTAATTTGTCAATTAGAAACCCCTCTAAGTTAAAAATCCCAGCCAATAAATCTTAAAAAATGCATATTGTGTAATATATGACTTAGTATGAATCCTTATTTTATGATAATTGTATATCAAGGGGTATCAAAAACTACTCTATCATCATTCGTCGCATATTTTAAACTTATTTTCTATTTTTGCAGCTCCTTACGGTATCTTCGCGCGAAGCTGTGTTGCGATGGCAAAGGACTCTAAGAGCACATTCATGATCATTGATGATGAAGGGTAAACCTTGAAATTAATATCTTAGCGTGAAAATAAAATAAATGAATGAATTAGGATATAATAAGGTTTGCCTTTTTGCAGATGTCCAGTGGACCCATCAATATTTCCTGCTTTTACTCCAGACGGCAATGCTCTGCAATCCATATACGAAGCGTTCAGATTTACTGAATCCTATGGTGTTATATTCCAATGCAATGTCAAATACTGCCTTGGGCCTTGCGAACCGGTGAGTATTTTTTAATAGTTGCAAACAAAAAGTATCATAAAAAGATCTAATGTGTAAAAATTCGTGTGAGTAATATTAGCAACGGCAATAAACCAAATTGTTTGACATTTGTTATGGTGTATACATGCGTTGACGTAGTCCCATGAACTTTTGGAAGATAAAAATTTATTCTGCAGTTTTGTGTTTGTTACCATGTTATTTGCGGTCTGTGGCTGCCTCGTTGGGCTGGTGGTCGTGAACGCAACTGCTGATCATGCGATTGGGTCTTTGTATGGTTTGTAAGGCCACACACTTTCAAGAAGTAGAGTTGTAGTTAGTTAATGAGCACGTCAAAAGGAAAATATCACCAAAGTTAAAAGTTTAATAAAAGTAAAATAGTTATAAAGTTAGAGTGGCAAATCTTTCCTGGAGTAGTTGGTGTTTAGAAGGACGGTTGTTGACGTACTGACGATTGTGAGATTGCAATTAATTAAGTAAATTTAAATACACGCGACGTGCGGCTAAAAGTAGGTTGCGTTTACTAAATAAAATGTGTGATGTAACCATACAATCTTTCTGTCAAGACATTCTCAGTAGCAGCCTGGAATCAGGACGTGGTGTTTGACCCCCGTGCCGCAGAAAGCACCTAAAGCCGTTCGCCTTGCGCCTGATCTCCGGTCATGTCAAATTTCTCTTCCATCGGACTATGAGAGTGAGGAAATAGAGAGTGCAACTGTGCTTGGGCACACATTTGTGCATTATATCCCTGTTCTGCACAGATGCCTAGTCCCCGTTGAAACTGGCTGCTGTGACCGAAATTCAGTCTAGAGGCCGTTATTTTATTTACGTCCACGACTGCATATTCATTGCTCAGCGCTTATTGTAGCTGTTCATCGTATCCTTGCTTCTAATGGTCGAGTCATACATATATAGAAATGTTTTGAAATAGATACGTATATTTATTTTGGGTGTTGTTGTCGCTGTGCAATGGCAGCGTAGGAATATTCACTATCCCATATTATAATATTGTGTGTCGTAAGAAGCGACAGGGAGAAAATGAAACAGATGATGGGTAGCAGCATCTTGCTGATAACAACCGAAAATAATAAAATAACTGTGGTTGTCAATCCGCCTGCCAACCGTTGCAACTGTGGTAGAATTCCCCTTTGATGCAGTCTATGGGGAGGTTCAGCAGAGAACTTTTGATAGGATGTTTTGCTTTGAATTTTAATGAATGTTTCGGGTTTAAATATAATTTTAATAACAAGCTGACAAGAATATTTATAGACGTAAAGTATAATATAATTTTCTTCTGCATATTTGTCAGGCCAAAGAATCTGTAAATTAAGTCTGAGGAGATAAGCTTGCGCATCGAATGACACGGTTATTATTTATATTTTCAGGCTATGTGCGAATGGGGTAGAGAAACCTTGGAATCATGGGGCAGGAAGAAGCGTTCTCTGCCCTCTAACGAGACCGGTGAATCTCGGAACCAGGAAGAAAATATGAACATCTCTCAAGAAATCCTCGTTTTAGACTTTGGCGATGACAGACAAAGCACAGACTTCCTCCGCTCTGATAAGCCAGGTGGAACGGCTTCGGAGACTAATTTCGGCGGTAAGTTATTTATTTTAAATTACATCGGGACTGATTATGGCCGACTGGTAGAGAACGCCTTATTGTGCATCATGTCCATGAGACACATTCACCATTGTCACCAAAAATCGGCATAAAATTCTATCACTATGTATCACATAAAAAAATAATTTAGTAATTTAAGTAGGGCACAGAACAGTAATTGTTCAAGTATAACTTGAAGTTTACCGAGTTCAAGTTGAATGTATTAAAAATTACGATTTTCGGATAGGTCTTAAAATTAACATGGACAATACAAAGGTTATGAGTACCGCCTCATGTCTCATTTAAACCAGAAGTAAGGACAAATTGCCCGATTTGGTATGTCCAAGTTCGACCAAAAGTCCAACTCAACTAACCGAGTCCGATCCAATTAGACTGTTCAAAATCAGCGTTCGGTGAATTACGTCACATCTTGACACGAATTCCTCACAGCTTGAATACAAGTGTACAATCAATGCGTATTGTCAGATTTATAGATCTGCTACGCTATGCTATAAAGAGCTATGCAGAGTTATGCACCGAATTAAAGGATGTCCGTAGTAGAACATAAAGAAATTAACCAACATAGCCTTATCGCCGGATCAGTAATTTGAACTGGCAATAAGCAGGCCATATCGCTCGAAAAAAACAGAAATCGATGGAGAGGTTTTCGAGTGTCAGCCTCGCACCGCTAAGCAGTCTACGGCGGCCCCCACTAAATGTAGTGACAAACTGGTAACACATGCAAGAGGTTGATGGACAGCATGGCATGGCATGGCAGCTCAGACCCATGTTTTGTGGCATTCGTAGGGGAAGGAGCCTATGTCAGGGTGGGTGGGGCTGAAATGATGATGATGCATTAAAAATTAAAATAGTATAAATGAAAATACAGAATAATTGAGAAAGTGTTATTCAGAGCATTTGAATGGATGGTAGAGTCACGGTGTAGCTATATTGTTGTTATAGCACAAATGGGGTGACTTGACCAGGAAAAGTCTACGCTCTCACAGAATAATAGCATAAAATAGCAGCTTGAAGCTGCTGTGTTTCGTATGGTCAGTTTAAAGAACCGGAGACCCTTTTTGCTGGGACCAAAGCCATCTTAGTCCTTAGGGGACAAAGCATCTATATTTTGATTCTTAGTCGAAGATACTGCTCGACGTCGTAGTATGTACGTGCACTTACCATTAGGTGGACTGTGTGCTCTTTTATTACTCTTATTTTATAAATAAATCTTAACTATGTATTCTATTTATACTCATGTTATCGAAACCAAGAATTTTATCCAATCGATATCTCAGAAATAATAAAGGAAAATGCCGCTCTCTTTCCGTAAATCTCTTACTTCCGACTCTCAAGAAAATATATCTTCATTGACTTTTCATTAAATTACAGTTAAATTAGACTTAATATTATTAAAAAATTCAAATGTATTTTTAATTACAGAGAGAACTGTTACAATCGTAGAGCCGTGTCCAAGCAAGATGTCAGTGTTACTCCTGGGAGTGGCGTGCGCGCTCCTTGTGCTGCTCTACATTGCGACCATCTTTTGTTATTACATGCGCAAATGGCTGTCGCCACCTAAGCACATGTCGTAATAACCGACGCAATAATTGAGTCTATAAATGAATAATAATTGCGGCCCTTATGTACTGTAACTTTTTGTAGCGATAGCGCTGGATTTACAATGAAAAACTTGTGATACACATGACTGATATTACGCAAAAATTGCAAAACAATGTACTTTTTTAATTTTTAAATAATAATTAATTTACATTGCTAATATTAATCAACTTAGTGAATTTTACAGAATTATTTGATATCTTCATAAAAACCGCCGTGCATATCGATTTTACCTCTTTGGTAATTTGGCATTTACAATAATATATTTCATATCTTTTAGTACAACCGGCTATTTACTATAAAACATGGACGTATAAAAAAACTATACAAATATTATGCATTTAAAAAAATATAGCCGTGACTTAGGTACCAACTTGATAATAGAGAAAACTAGTTTGTACCTACCTTTAATAGAATAATTTAGTTTTGGACGATGCATTTATTAATATTAAGCATTTAGATTATTTTCTAAAACAAATTATTGTACAATTATCATACATGATAAATGCCAAACATTGTTTGGAATAATCCCTAAAAAATTATACCAAATAACTTTTGTCACTATTTTGCTTATAATTTTATGGGATTATTCTGAATTTAAATTATTGGATTTTTGTTAAGGTTATTTAAGTAATTAAGGATAAAGCAAATATCAATCACATAATCATGCCCATATAAGGTCCTATTGTATTGAAGTAATTTTAGGTACCTTGGTTATATGACTCATCATTCCTGGAAATCTAATAGGTTTGTAAATATGCTGTCTGTCATTTCGGCACTAATAAAGTTTTGTATGCTCTTACTGAACTTTCAGTTGGGTTTTGAAGAAATGTTCTTGTAATTTGAGTGCACATTTGTTGTCACTCACAAAATTCGATATATAGTGTTTCTCTTAACCCAACTTGAGATTTCTTAATTTATTTAGATTAGTAAAATTAATATCTATTTATTTCTTACACTTATAAAATAAATAAAATAAACTTGTACAAATTTACTTATTTTTTTATTTCAACTATATACAACAATACGAGTAAATAATAAATAAATAGATTCTTTGAAAACAGGACACTTTAATATATTTTAAGGAACCATCAAATTTCTGCAGTTACTGTTGAACACAGTCCAACATTAATTTACTATATACACTATTTAAAATCTCTTCTTGTGCCTTTGTCTCCATTTCTTCAAACTTACAACTAAAAACTTTCTCAAAACTACATAAAAATTTTGGGATTATATTTTCAATGGGATGTTTCATTCCTGTCTCTTTACTAAGCGATGTCACACCTTTGTCAGGTATGCCACAAGGATTGATATAGCTAAACCATGACAAATCATTATCACAATTCAGGGAGATCCCATGTGTGGTAATATATCTTGAGGCATGTATTCCAATAGCTGCAATCTTGTTGTCACCTACCCATACACCTGTATGTGGTGACCTGTTCGCTTTGACACCTGTAATATAAGCATGCAGACTTTTACTGACTGATAAAGTAGGAGAATGAGCAGATGCCCGATATGAGAAAACCAGAGCTGAATGATTGATTTAAATCATTTTCATTAGTAATTTAAACCAAGTTTTATTTCAACTTTAGTCCTTGAGAAAATCAAAATCAGGACCTATATGAAAAATATTATTAAAAATTACATCAGACTTGCATTATCAATAATTAGTGTTCAGTTTCGAGGCTTGATAGAACTATGGCTAAGTAAATATCTGCAGAGGCAGATGCTTGCAGGTTCAATATTCACATATGATTCAAATACTTGAATTTTTTATGGAATAAGAGTGACAAATCAGCGCACAGTCCACCAGATGGTAAGTGGATGCCGTGACCCATAGAGATCTATCCTCAATTAACAATTAAATTGTCACTATAGAGGACCATGATGGAATTTTTTGTTTCCAGTAAAAAGGATCTTCGGTTCTCTATATTCACCATATGAAACACAGCAGCATTAAGCTGCTATTTAATATTGGTATTCTGTGAGAGTCTAGCCATGGACACTGATAGTTTCAGCTAGATTTGTTTTTGTTCGGATAGTGTACAGAGCACTTCAATCTAATACTGTCAAAATGTATCGCTCAAATGTACTAGTTCAGACTTCTAATAGTATTATTACATTGATCTTTACTAATGTTGTTTTACGTGAAATATTTTATTGTTGGGAATGAGGGTAAAAACATAAAAGAAAAGACAAACAAATGAAGGTAGAATGGTAATCTCATACTTATTTTAGCAGTATAAAGTATCGCACGGGCGATTTAGAGGCATCAATCTGTAATTCTAAGAGTCCCAGGGTATTTTACTAGTGTAGGCAAGGAAGGTCGTGTTGCTGACAGGCTGCCCTGTGTTACATTGAGATGGGTAGTGGTGCTATTGGTTTGCATACTTTGGTGTTATCATGTAATTGGGTCCTGATAGTAAGCACGGCTTGTTACCAAGTAGTGTTCTTTTATTCAAATACTTTAGAGATAAATTTCTAAAATCAGAGGTGGAATAGTTTGTTACATTATATAAATTAAAATAAGTATATTCATGCATAAGCAAGAAAAAACACTCAAGATAAAACAACATTCAATATCTAACATCCCAAATAAAAACAGTAAACACTCACTAATGGGAATGTTTTAAGTAAAAATTATTAGTAAATTGCCAATAATCCCCAGTAAACTACCTCGCAAACAATACCAATTAAAAAAAAGTAAGCAATATTTTAATTTTATGATGTTATAAATTCCCTAACAAAATAAGTGATAGGAACTAAACAGTTGAAGTTGTCTCGTTTCAAACTTTCATGCGATGTGTCATATGTATTTCGTTCATACTTCATACTACCAAGTGAAATGCGTGCATGTAGTTTGTTTTGTTCACTAGGCGTTGCATTGGTGGCTGAGCATATTTCACGGAACAAGTATTTGTATGGCCTACAAATAATGGTTCTGGATCTGGATGTTTGTTTTTGTGCGATTTGTGTGTAAACTGCTTCCATGACACAGAAGAAAATCCTAGTGTGGGGGTAATGTTGTTTAAACGAAAAAGGAACTACAAGTCTAGTTTCAACTTTGTATAAGGCACATAGGTGTTTTTGAAGTAAAAACTTCTTTGCAATCTTTGTGATTTAATCTCGATGAAACGAAAAAGGGACACTAAAAAGATACAAACATATACATGTATAGGATTTAGCCTGTGAGATAATAAGATAGAATATTAGATATATTAAGATAGATAGTCATGTTTAGGTCATGTAGTGTCTATTTTGCGTACCATTTTTAGAGTCAATCAATTTTTATTTGTTAAAATGACTTGACCTCTAAAATGAAGTAGATGTTGCTATTACTCGCAACTAATCCTTGCTAAGTTTAGTTTTCTGAAGGTTTCACTTCTATCGCTTGTGAACTACACACATTTTTTAAAAATTTATTACTATGAGGAATCATTGCCATTTTATACAATTAATTTAAAATGAGAAGCTGAACAGACTGTCTAAAATTATATCAATGAAAGGAAAAGACAATATTCAGCAAGTAACACCCGTCCATCGCTTTAAAGTAATATGCAGATTTTATATTCACTACCTTTTTATATGGTAGAGCCACACTGTAGCTATTTAATGGTTGTATCATAAATGGGTCTGCACAACCAAATAAGGAACACACTCATAGAATACCAGTGTGATATAGCTGAGAACCAGAGATCCTTTTTACTGGAAATGAGGAATTCCATCCTAGTCCTTAGGAGTGACAAATCTTCTGCATTTTAACTCTAAATAGGGTATAGATGTAAATGTATATAAGCCACAGCGTCTATTTACTATCAGGTGGACTGTCCCTGTTTATTCCCTTATTCTATAAAAGCTTGTACACTCATATAGTTAATTAAAGCTATAGGTAATATATTTAATAACACTTACAATATATTTATTTACATAATATTGAAATGTATACAATATTAATAAAAAACTATAATAAAAAAAAATTAAAAAACTTGTTTTTAGTACAATAGTATGTTTTAATAAAATAGTGATTTAATAAATAGTATATAGTTTTTATGGCAGAATCGCTGGAGGAACTAAGCACTATGCGCAATTACCTCAATAGTGTTTCCCAAAAGATACGTCTTAACATGAACATGGACAAAACCAGTCATGCGTAATGTCCATGTGACACCTATGCCGGTAGTTGTTGGGAGCACTTAGCTCGAAGTTGTTGACGAGTATGTTTACCTGGGACAAATAGTCCGACTAGATAAGTCCAACTTTGACCGAGAGGTTAATCGACGGATTGAACTCAGCTGGGCAGTTTGGGAGATTACGACATATCTTCTCGTCAGGCATGAATGGGATGTTGTTGTCAGAAATGGGAAATACTCTATTAACTTTGAATAATCAGACAAAAAAATATCAGGCAAGATAACACGTCAAAAATACACCAAATAGTTTATTGTGGTCATTCCATTAGAGGATTCTTCAACAAAACACTTTCAAGGTGTTGTAAGAAGTAACTATTCAAAATGTCAGAAAGACCTTATTGCTCACAAAAGATAGTGGTACAATCTCCATATATGCACAGACTTAAGATATCAAGACCAACAACAGGAAGCTGCTGTTAGTCTGGGACAAGAGTGTGAGAGGTGTGTTACTGCCATCACATGTTCATGTACCTTTACTACATATGGGGGAGGTTCATAAACATCAGTATGTTCTATACCAAGTTTAGTGTATACTGGCACTGTAAGAATATCCACTACCCCATATCATCCCATGGGTGTCGTAAGATGCAACAGAGGGAAACAAATCAGATGGCAGCAGCAGCAGTATCTTCATTCATCATATCCTCTTTATAAGGTAATCTATGGGGAGGGCCTATGTTCAGCAGTGGACTTTAATAGGCTGTAAGAGTAACAGTAGCAGCCCTGTTTAAGTGTTGCAATAAACAAGAAAAATAATTTAACAATAGAGGCTATAAAAAATTACCAACCTAACACTTCACATAGCTTGATCACAGTTTCTTCTAAGCTATTCACATACCATTTGACACTTGCTTTGTAATTTTTCAAATTTATAACAGGGTACACAACCAACTGCCCAGGGCCATGAAATGTAATAAGACCACCTCTGTTGGTTTTCCTGAATTCTGCCCCTAAAGCTCGTAGCCTTAGGATTTCGTCTTTTGGTGTTTGATCTCTAATACCTAAAGAACGGAACTGTAATAAACATTTCAAAAATATTTTAGTCTAGTCACAATAAAGACAAGCAATTAATAATCTTACCAACGGTATACACCGGTTTATGTTCAACTAAGAGAAGCGTATCATAGTTAACATTTTGTCTGTTCATTATCGCATCCAAATGTTTCCTTGCAAGGGCTAGTTGAATTTTTAAAGCCGTGTCATAACTAATTAGGCCCAATTTCCAAATTTGAACCATGTTTGATCTAAGTTTTAATTATATACTTAACAGGAGCTTTCATATATGTACCTTTAATACCTTTATTATGTACTTTTATATGTTAAAATCCAAGTTCATTTCGAATTTTAAATCATAGATAAATTAATTATAACCCTTTTGTTAATCCTATAAATAAATATAAAAGTGACATTGATCATTGACATTTGACGATGAGCAAGTAGGCTTGGGCAAAAAATATCGATAAATCGAAATATCGATATTTTTTATTAAAAATATTTTATCGTCGATGTTTTAAATCCTGATATACCGATATACTGATATTTATTTTAGAGTATCGAATTCGTTTCAATTTCGATATATTTTAAAATTTTGTATTAATGACAAAACATAACATACAACAAAAGGAGGTACAAAAGTATTCATGTGTGGTTGGTTGTCGTTTTTTTTTTTCGTCGTCCAACCGTCAGTAATATAAAATTTCGAATTATCTTTACATCATGCAAATGATGACGATATATTTATATATCGATATTTATCGCGCGATATATATCGATATTGAGTAAAAATATTGATTCGATGTATATCGATATATTTTATTCCCTTGCCATCCCTATGAGCAAGAGCAACTAGGTTATGGAGTGTAGAGTAGAAGGAGGACCATCTCTGTATATGAAAAGTGTCCCTAAAAACGTGACCAATAAGGGTGGCGCTGCAGTAGCATAGGATAAATTAAAAAAGAAGCGCCAAAAGTATTTAGAGTAAGATGGAGAAATAAATAAGGACCGATCAATCCGCTTGGTTTTGTACTACGTAAATAGTTGAGATTTTGTATATTGGCGTTTTACTAACTACTCTAGTCATGAAATATTTGAATTCAGCTGACTTCACTCCGTTCATAACAGCTATCTTCATATCGTAGTTTTTCAGACGCCAGCGCTATTGTGGTAGGTTTTGGAACCTCTATTTACAGTAAATAGTAGGACACTTTTTCAACCTTCGCTGCTTATAAGATGGTTCTCCTTCTACTCTACACTCCATAAACTAGGTACAATACGGGTATGGAGTGTAGAGTAGAAGGAGGACCATCTCTGTATATGAAAAGTGTCCATAAAAACGTGTCCAATAAGGGTGGCGCTGCAGTAGCATAGGATAAATTAAAAAAGAAGCGCCAAAAGTATTTAACCAAAATGGCGGCGATGTGGTTCGCCACCCATCACGTCTCGTTTCTCGCGGGGGCGAAAAGCGGCCCACGGAGAGCCGCTTCGCTACGTTGAATGTAAGAGGAGGAATGGATGGTAAGGTAGATGAAGTATGTCAGATGATGGATGAACGTTGCATTGATATTCTGTGCGTGAACGAAACCAAGAGGAAAGGATGTGACACCACGGTTCATGGCCCCTACACGGCATACTGGTCGGGAGTCCCCCAAACCAGCCGAGGCTGTCAGGGAGTTGGTGTGATTCTTTCATCTCGAATGGTTGAATGTGTGATGGAGCATGAATGTATAAGCCCAAGACTCCTTAGAGTAAGATGGAGAAATAAATAAGGACCGATCAATCCGCTTGGTTTTGTACTACGTAAATAGTTGAGATTTTGTATATTGGCGTTTTACTAACTACTCTAGTCATGAAATATTTGAATTCAGCTGACTTCACTCCGTTCATAACAGCTATCTTCATATCGTAGTTTTTCAGACGCCAGCGCTATTGTGGTAGGTTTTGGAACCTCTATTTACAGTAAATAGTAGGACGCTTTTTCAACCTTCGCTCCTTATAAGATGGTTCTCCTTCTACTCTACACTCCATAAATACGGGTGAGAAGTGACATTTCAGTTTGACACAACCTGACATTCATAGATTTTTTTATAACTGGCTTTCCGGCTCTGGGTTATAGTCTTTCTGAGCCTGAATTTACAATGTATAAGTATCCTTCATAGTACACTGCTTCACAATATGTTCGTCACTTTGTGCAGCCCTTGGGAGATTTTGACGGTAACTTGAGCCAGCAGGCAGCTGACAGTTGGCGATGGTATCTCAAAGAGACAGTTTATCTTGAGAATCACATCACCATCAGAGCACTTGTTTCACCGTTTCCACTAATAGTTCACATGCGCAGACACTTAATACACAAAATCGCACCACTTTTACATATCAAATTCCACTTCAAACCATTATTTAAACAATAATATAGGAGCAGTAAACCGCCGCCGGTCAAGTTCCCGCCCAAACTCGATTATTATTTATATACCCACATTTTAACAGACAAAGGCAAAGCTGTTTTGATCATAACAAAATAATTCGATAGAAAACAAAACCTGCAGGAACTCGACTGATGATTTTGTGGCAAGCCATAGGAGGGGCCTAGTAAGCTTATGATGAGCTGCAATAATGATGATTATGATATAGCGAAAATAATACTAAGCCATGCTGGTTTTGAAACGGATTCAAGATTGATTATCTCTAAACTTTAACTCTAAATATCGATGAGGGCTAATAATCTTCCACTCACTAGATGCCGCTAGTTGGGACAGGTTGACTGAGGTGAATTTTTTTGCTACATAAATCATTGTGAGAAATTATTTTTTATAAAATTTATCAATTTCTAAAGTAGGACATTAATACATAAAACAATACCTCAGTGGATTGCTTTTTAAGTTTTTGCACGATTTTAACTATTGTTTATTTTTTACTTTTTGGGATATCCGTAGTTTGGTTTATTCGTTTCTAATCTAAATAGTATAAATTTTAACTAATATTACAGAAAGAAACATTAACTCTTACATTTTCCTAACAAATTTACTTCATCGCTATAAAATCTGTCAAATATTTCAGCTCATTCCAAAGCGGTGCAGCTGATGGCAGAAAAAGAGAATCTTTGGGACGGCATATATTTTATCAAAAATGCATAAAATGAATTGACTTATATTTCACGTTCAAAATGATGTCTAATAGGACACTGAATGAAGTGAAGCAAATTTTATGAAACCCGTCTAGTAAGAACATAAAATATAGATACTAAAATAATCTCTTTAGCTATGAAATCGCCATTTTTTTATAAAATAAGTTATCGTAATTTTTTTTATATATTTTTTATTTCTATTAATAAAAATAATCACACATGCAACCGATTCATCTTTGCCCACGCAGTAGCAGTTTATTGATGCCCTTCTTGAAATCGCTGGACGGGAGGCAACAAATTCTTCAAAGGCATTTTGTACTGCCAAAAAGTTATCCGAATTCTGGAAAGAGTAGCAGTCTGTAGGCGCAAAGTCGGGTGAGTACGATGGATGACGGAGAGCTTCCAACCCCAGCTCTTGTAACTTGGAGACCGTCTGTTGTGCAGTATGAGGTCGCACGTTGTTGTGTAGGAGTAGCGGGACGAGCGATTGACCAAAGCTGGTTGAAGATGTGCGAGCTTCTCCTTCATTGTGTTCAGTTCTTCACAGAACACATCTGCGCTAGACCACGAAATAGTGACCATCACTTTTCTAGTGGTAAGTTTTCGTTTAGAGCGTTGTTTAGGTGCTGAACCAGGGTCCAATCTACTTGTTAAGCGCTTCTCATTGTCAAACAGAATCCATTTTCACCACAGGTAACAATGCGGTTCAAAATTCCTACGTATATGTGCCTGTTGAGCAGTACGCCTTGCACGTCTTGACGCGTACTTTGCGCTGGCAATCATTGAGTTCGTGAGACACCCATTTGTCAAGCTTTTTTTTTACCTTGCCATTTTGACGCAAAAGGACTAATATTGTTTTGATGTTAACGTAGAAAGCTCCTGCTAATTTAGCCGTAGATTGAGCATCATCAGCTTCCATAATCACCTTTAAGTCGTCATTGTCGACCAAGGTTTTCGGACAACCACGGGGTAATTTTTCAGGTCAAAATTTCAAGAACCAGTAACAGGTGGTGCGTGCGTTTGTAGTATCTGCTTCGTAAACGTCATTGATGTTGACTGCCGCTTGTGCTGTGTTGCTGCCACGACGGTACTTATGTTCCATAATTACTCGAATTTTTAACGTAGCCATGATGACGAAAAACATTCAAAAGCGATGAAAAAATAACGCTAATCAATAAGCAAATGACTAATTTTCAAAAATGATTTCCAGGTTTTTAAAATAAAATCATACTTTTTTAATGACGGCTCCGTGGTGCAGTGGCTTAGCAATGAGTTGTTGCGCTGGGGGCCGCGGGTTCGAATCCCGCACGGAACAAGTTTTGGTATGGCCTACAAATAATTGTTCCGGGTCTGGATGTTTATGCTCGTGCAATCTATGTTTGTAAACTGCCTCCACGATACAGTAGAAAATCCTAGTATTGGGGGTAACGTTTTTTAAAAAAAATGAAATGACAAACTCGAAAATAAAATTAATATGAAATTAAAATATATGCCAAACAAAACTTATTTTGATTTGGAATGGTCAGTACTGTAGAACGGCAATTTAATAGGTAAAGACGATCGATGGTAAAGACCTATTATGAATATGTTTATATCGAAATAAATTTTTATAAAATTCTTTACAAAATGCTGATGCGTCACATCGAGAAGTTTTTCGAAAATTTTGACGTCAGCTTGATCCAGCGGACAGTAGACGATAATATCTCAAGCCCCCATGTGGATTAAAAAAACCTTGAGATTTATATTATCACCATCAACGCACTTTGTTCATCGTTTCCACTAATAGTTTACATGCTGATATTTACTGTACAAAATCGCACTACTATTACGTATCATAATCCACTTCAAACTATTATTTAAACGAAAAAGCAGGAGCAGCGATCCACCGGCGGTCAAGTTCTCGCCAAAACTCCGTCAACTTGGTTTTGGAGTTTTGGCGGGAACTTGACTACTGGAGGATTGTTTTTTTATAGAATAAGGGTGACAAACGAGCACATAGTCTACCTGATGGTAAGTGGATGCTATTGCCCTTAGACATCTAGATCTATCCTCATTTAAAAATCAAAATGCAGATGAGTTGTCACCCTTGAGGTCTAAGATGGAATACCTCGTTCCCAGTA